TACTACACAAGTTAAAATGATAAATTTCATGTACTATATATTTTACAATTTAAAAAAATCAGCAAACTTCTGATTCTGACTTTGTAATAGGTTCTGCCTAACAGTACCAAAGCAGAACTCTGTTGGGTTTCCTGCCGGCTAATGGTAGTGTCTCACTCCAGTAACATCTTTGCAGTGTTACCTGGTAGTTTTGTTTACCTCCCTGCAAAGAAGGCTGGCATCACACATGTCTTTTTCAAGAGGATCCTGAAATTAAAAAACTGAGATCATATATTTTATGCTAAAACTAAAGCAATCAGTGTGAGAGTTGCCTAGCATACTCGAATCAAGGTCGGGCTGAAATCTGGCTCTAACCCTGTTTGCCATGCCATGTGACTGGTACTGTTTACTACCATCGCAGCAGCCGCAGGCAAAGCTGATTATTATACAGACTCCCGCTCACCAAACCACACATTTGGGCTGGCAGGTCTTTCTGAAGAAAAATACTTCTGTTTCAGCAGTAGCCTAACCATTACTTCACCTGTGCTGTTGTAAACAAACCCAGGCCTGCTTGGAAACAAGGGTTTAAAACATTTTTAAAGAATTCTATCTTTTTAGCCACAGACTGCTATGGTGAAAACAACACAGACAATAATAACAAGACCAAAAAAAAAAAAAAAAATCACTGACACACATTTGCCAGAGGGTGCCAAGCCTGACCCAAGCCTTCATTTGAACTTAGCCTTAGAGGCTCTGGGTCTTTCCAGCTCTATCTGACTGCCAGGTTGGGTTAAATGCCTGGGGTGTAGGCAGTATTCACATTACCATTCCTCCCTCTCCCTACAGAAACTGTTTCTGGAGCCCAATTCAGGGGAAAAAAGCAGGGAGGAACCAAAGGATTGTGACTTTCATTTCTCAATTGTCCTTCAGGAGGTAAGAGTTCCAGAAAGTTCATTCTTTATACTGTGAGCTGGTGCTCCCTAGCAACTTAAAATAGAAATGTGAAGTGCTTTCTGTTTTCTTCCATCTCACTGCCCAGCACTGCCTTTCCTGATCTAATCTGTGAAGTCTGGACATCAAATGGGGTGGGCAGTGGTGGAGAGTCCAGAACAGTTAACTCTCAAACCATCTGGTGGCTGGCTAACAAAGGAGTGGTTTGTACTTCACCTTCCTGGGCAATACACTTCTGCCCAGAATCTACCTGTTTCCCTGTGTAGCTGACAGAGTGAACCAGTGAGTATGAAAGTTAATGCTAAGAAGGCAGCACTTGGGAGGCAGAGGCAGCCTGGTCTATATAGTGGGTTCCAGGCCAGCTGGGGATACAGGGAGGCCCTGTCTGAAAAAGAAAAAGAAAAAAAAAAAAGCAGGTAAAATAAAACTACAGAGTGTTTATGGATTTTATCTGTTTTATCTGAACTTGCTGCCTCCTCCTGCTCCAGATTAGCCTACTTTTTTTTATTTTTTTTTTTTGTCTTTTTGAGAAAGGGTTCCCTTTTATCCCCAGCTGGCCTAGAACTCACTATGTAGACCAGGCTGGCCTTGAACTCACAAAGATCCGCCTGCCTCTGTCTCCCAAGTGCTGGGATTAAAGGCGTGCGCCACCATGCCCGGCCTATTCCAAACATTTTTATTCCATCAATCCAATCACTTTTTTTTAAAAAGGACTTGTACTCCTTTTTTTAATTTATTTATTATTTTTATTTTTTATGTGTATGAGTATATTGCCTGCATGTATGTGAGTGCTTTCGTCATGTGATGCCTCAGAGGTCAGAAGAGGGCTTCGGATTCCCCTGGAACTGGAGTTAACGGACGTTTCATAGCCGCCATGTAGGTGCTAGGAATCGAACCTGGGTCCTCTGCAAAAGGAGTCAGTGCTCTTAACCACTGAGCCATCTCTCCAGCCACCCCATCAATCACTCTTATTTGATTTTTTTAGATTCTGAACCTTACCTGTGCCCAGGGTCTCATGCATGCTAGATAAGTATTATACCACTGAGCTACATCTCTACTTCTATGTGTGTGTGTGTGTGTGTGTGTGTGTGTGTGTGTGTATGTTTTGTTTCATTTCTGAGACAGAGTCTTACTCTGTAGCCCAGGTTGGCCTGGAACTCACTATGCAACCCAGGCTAAACTCAAATTTGCTGCAACCCTCCTGCCTCTGCCTCCCAAGTGTTGCAATTACAAGTGTGCACCATAGCCAGTTCTCAGTGCTTTATTATGAGAAACGGTCTCAAGAAGTTGCCCTAGCTGGCCTTGATCTCCTGTCCCAACTTCCTGCATATCTGCACATCTGGATCTGTACCAGGTCCAGCTCTTTTTTCGTTGGTCTGATTTTGTTGTTGTTTGTTTTGTGACAAAACGAAACATTATAGTGTTTATGTCAGACTGACCTCAAATTCTATCCTCCTGCTTCATCCTCCCAAGTGCTGGCATTACAGGTGAGCACCTCCAAACCTGGCCTTAAAATATTAAAATAGCTCTTTAGGATTCTAAGATTAGCTCTTCTCTTGCCAAAAGTTGCAAATGAGATACCATAATGGTGCTGTGGTATTTTTCTTCCTCTGGTAGTTCTCAACTTTCCTCTTCTCCTCATCGCTCTTCTACCCAACATATTCCCCTCAAGGACCTCACCAATGACACTACAAGGGTCCCCAAAATACCAGGGAGGAGGCTCACCTTACTCCTAACAACTACTAAAATAATTTATTCCTCAAAATATAGAGACAACTATAAATGTTAACATAAGAAATCAGCCAGTGAACTCTGGTAGTTACTTAACATTAATGAATGCATTAAGAACCTAGTAGGTGGGCTGGGGCTGTAAGGCTACAGCCCTTGTGTAGTATAGGTTCCTGGGTTCGATTCCCAGCAGAGGTGACAACAAAAATAACCTAGCAGGTGCTCTACTGCCTCATTTAATCCTCACAACCACCCTGCAGGAGGGAACTGATTTCCTCAGATCACACCTAGGAAACAACTTGCTCCAATGAAGGAAGGATTTGGACCTTAGGACTCTTGGTGGCACCAACCCTGGCCCTTCACCTATCCAGGAAGTCTTCACATCTGTAAAATGAAAAACGTTAACGCTTTCCCCTCTCCCCCTGTCTCTTGAGAGAACCCAGGGAATAAATGAACTATGTCACCTTGAAGGTCTCAGATAAAGCATGAAAAAATATCCCTTCCAATGCACAAAACCACCTACAATAAAGAAAACAACAGTCAGGCATGGTGGCCCATGCTTTAATCCCAGCACTCAGGAGGCAGAGGCAGGTGGATCTTTAGGAATCTGAGGCCAGCCTGGACTACACAGCAAGTTCCTGATCAGCCAGGACTACACAGTGAGACCCTGTCTTGCGGGGAGGGGGAGAAAATGACACAGAACACAACTCAGTATAGATAAAGCTGTCTCTTCTTTCTCCTTAAGAACCACAAGAAAGGGTGATGTGTCTACAATCCCAGCAGCTGGGAAACTGAGGCAAGAAGATAGAGAGTTCCAGCCTGAGCCACATTGGGAAATCTTGTCTCAAAAACAAAACAGTGGACCTTAACAGGGATGACAGAGTATATAGGTTCCAGTGGAGGGCTATCAGAGGGTACTTGTATAAAATGATTAAAATTGTTTGAGATATTCTGTATGAATACACAAAAATTCAATAAAAACAAAAAATACAGATGAAGGAGAAGGATCAAAAGAGGAGGGAGGGGCTAGAGAAATGGCTCAGCAGTTAAGAACACTGTTCTTGCAGAAGACCCGGGTTCGAATCCCAGCACCCACATGGCAGCTAATAACTGTTCATAACTCCAGTTCCAGGGGATATGACAGCCTCTTCGGTCCTTCTCTGGCACTGCCAGACATGGGTGCGCTTATCTACATGCAGGCAATACATGCATACACATAAAATAAAAATAATAAAATTAAAAAAAAAAAAAAAGGAGAGAGAGAGGAGGAATGCCAGGCATGGTGGCACTTTAATTCCAGCACTTAGGCAGGCAGATTTCTTTGAGTTCAAGGTCAGCCTGGTCTACATCGTGAGTTCCAGGCCAGCTGGGACAACAAGGAGACCTTGTCTCAAAAAGACAAAAAAAAAAAAAAAAAAAAAAAAAAAAAAAAAAAAAAAAAGGAGGAGGGAGAAGAGGGAAGGAGAGAGGGAAGGGAGAGGGAGGGAACTGGGCATAGTGGAGGAGCTTGGGCATGGAGAAGCTGGAATATTAAGTGACAAAATCAATGAGCTTTCCAAAGTGCAAACCACGGTTACAACACCAACGAACAGAGCAGGACGTGTTTGCATCTGGATACCAGGCATCCCGCAGGAACTCACAGTAGAGCATGCAAGAGTGCAAGAGACTGCGGAGAAGTTAAGCTCTTAGGGTCATGCAGACGAGAAAACCAGAGCACAAGCACAGACACTGCTTTAGAGAATTGCAGATATTGTGATCCGGTGGCAGCTTCCAGATGAGTCTTAAAAGGATTGGGGGGTGGGGAGGAGGTACACCTCAAACTGCAGCATCGAAACCCTGCAACCACCTTAGAAGTCCCTGGAAGCGCCATCCTCCTGGGCGCACACTGGGCACTGTCAGCTCCAGGGGCTCGGGCAAAAGGAGCGGGACGCACGCGCGCACGCAGTGGGTGACAACCGTCCTTGGGGTCGGAGGCCCCAGGGCCTACAAGCAACACTCGTGGCTTTCGTGGCTTCAGCCCCCGGCCCAGCACCACGAACCCCACGCAGGAGTTCTTTGTTGGGACAAAACCTTTATTTTCGATGACGGACCGCCCCCCTCGGGGGGAAGGGGGTGCAAACCAGGACGGAGAGAAGAAAACACATCTTGACATGAGGACGGCCAAGAGCCGGACACAGGAGCCCGACCTCGACTCCCCTGCCGAGGCGATGCCCCCCGAAGCCGTTCGCTGCGTGCACACCCCAGACTCTGCTCGCCTGGGGTAAGCACTCCGAGGACGAGGAAGGCCGAGCCCCACGCCCCAGTGCTCCCCACTTCCAGGCCGCCAGCCTTTCCGTACTTACCGGGGCCCTCGGGCCCGTCTTCCTCGCCCGCGTCCTCTCCCCTCCCAGCCCCCTCCTCACTTCACGTCCCCGCCTCCTGGGGCCGCAGCCATGTCCGTTAAGGGCAATTCTGAGGGGGAAGCTGGGCAGCTTTTCCCGACGACGGAAGCGCTGGCCAACAAGTTAAAGCTCCGGACGCTGATTGGTTGAAATTTAAGCCGTGCGCAGATTTCTGAATTCCTATTGGCTGTTTTGCGCGCTAAACTGTAGCTTCATCCGCCCTTCTAGGAGCCTGGCGGAAGTAACCGGTAATTTTTTTTCTAGAAGTGATACCCTAGAGCCTCGGTCCTTCCTTAGCATTAGGCTCTAGATACCCTAACCAGAAGTGACCGCACACCTTCCGCCCCTATTAGTTTTCCCAATAAAGTGTTTTAAAGACATAGGTTAGGCGATATCACCCGCCCTTAAACGATTATTTTTAAACTAAACCCCTTGCAAGAAGGCTTCATTGCTCTTTTTTTCTTCCTAGCGCCCTTGTTTCAGAGAACAAATACCTAGAGACGTCGTCTTTTTAAAACGTCTCTCCGGACTAATACTACGTCCAAACCAAAGTTGGAGAATCTAAAGCAATACTGTAATTTCGCCCTCAGCTTGTCTGAAATCTAAAGGGACAAGCAAGCTAAAAAAAAATGTTTTCTAGATAATTAGAGAAATCGCCCGGGAAACGTCTCTTGGGAAAACAAAGTATGCCTATGTCAGTATTTACTTTTATTTTCCCAGAAATCTAAGTCTGGAAGAGTTGCTTTTGTAAAAGTCTGCCTATAAAATTGGAAAAGGGTCATAGCTGGCCCTGGGAAGTAAGAGCCCCTTCTCCTTTATTAATGAATTTAATCATGTACTTAAAATTCCTCTTTCAGCTTGACAAGAAGCCAAAGTTTTACTGATTTAACTGTGTTTAAACCAGTTCATCTGTTGCCTAAAACACCCATAGAGTCATATTTTCCTTCAAGACAAAAATCTGCAGTTTATCTTTACAAATAGAGGTCTTTTAAATCTCTCCACTTAATCTCATAGGGGTTGATAAAATGATGGAGCCCACCTGCCACATAGATTCACTACAGTCTCAAACATGTTGGAGAACTTTGCCCAATAACTGGTTCTCTGTGCTTTTAAGGTTCTTTTCTACTGAACAGCCAATATTCAAATGCATGCCTGCTCTACAAGTACACCTCCCACACTCCTTTCACAAACACCTTCCCTGCCTTTTACTCACTGAATCTCTGTACAGCACCTTGCCTCTTCCTCTGTGTTTCCAGTGTCACCTTTATGAAAGTATGTTTTGTACAGTAGTGTTATTTGTGGAAGACTTCAAAGGTCCCTTACCCCAGACAACTGGCTAACCCTGGCAGATACCTTAGCGCCTTACTTGTATCGTTAAATGTTTGTTAAACAGAACTGGTTAATTGCTTATGTCTTAGGTCCCTCTACTTTGTTCCATAAAACATGGTGCTTTTGGGAAATGAACTTGTTGGGCAGTCATCCTGTCCTACTTCACACTGTACCTTGGCCCCTCTGGGCCATACTGGCTTGTCCAGGCCATTCAGACTTTATGATCATCAGTGAGTGTGAACTGAGTTGTCTGCTAGTTTAAAGGGCTGTGAAACACCCCTTAACTCCCAATCCCCACATTAGTACCCATGTGCCATAAAACCTTGCTGAAAGATTAAATTGTTCAAGTCCAAACAAGTCAATCATGTATTCTTTTAATACTTTATTTTTATTTTTGCGTGTATGAGTGTATTGCCTGTATGTGTGTAAGTGCACTTGTGTTGTGCAGTGCCCTTGGAGGTCAGAAGAGGGCATCAAATTCCCCTGGAACTGGAGTTAGAAATGATTGTTAGCCACTATGTGGGTGCTAGGAATCAAATCCAGGTCCTCTGCAAGAGCAACCAGGCTCTTAACTGCTAAGCCATCTCTTCAACCCTGCCAGTCATGTATTCTAAAGGCATCCTGGCTAGCCTTTTTAAGGCTCCAAAGACCTTTTAGCCATGTCTTTTTGGTTATCTAGCCGCTCCAAGAAGTTATCTGTACAATCCTTCTTCACTTTTCTGAAGCTTCTCCAGTCTCTCTTAAGATGACTGAGAGAAGAGGCCCAAGGCCTTCCAGTGGAGGTTTTTATCTACATCTCTGTTTTCTCAGCATTCTTATAATGAGTAGCTGCATGCGTCTGTGTTTCTAGTCCCTTTCCCATCAACCTCAAGTGCTACTGCCATTTCCTGTCCCTGAAATGCCCTCCCTGGTCTCCTTGCTTCCTGATTGGCTCTTTATCATCCTTTCAGGTAGGCTTGCTCTTCTGTTTTCTCATAAGTGCCTATGGATAGTTTTTATCACCTGGCTTACCACGTGGCTTATATCTTTGACAGATAAAGAATATTAATAATGCATAAGAATACACAGTCTCTTTCCCTCCTCCCACCTGCTGAGACAAAGTTGTCAGTGCCTGTGAGGCTCCCACATCATTCTACAGTATCAGAATTGGAGGAAGGCAAGACTGAGAACAGATGATCCCTGAGTGATTTGTGTTACCTTGGATAGGATGGACAGTGACAGGCAGATGAGAAAGGATGCGTGTGTTTTGGAGGGGGGGCGTTGTTGGCACTTTTGTTGTGGTGGTGGTGAGTTTTTCTATTTTAATTTAATTGTTAATTGTGTGTGAGTGCAGGCCTATGGGTGCCACGGCATGCATGTACAGGTCAGAGGACAATTTACAGGAATCTGTTCTCTCCTTCCACTATGGGTTCTGGGGATTAAACTCAAGTCATCAGGCTTGTACAGCAAGCACTTTTACAGAAAGCACTTTTTTTTTTTTAAAGACAGGGTCTCCCTGTAGCCCCAGATGTCTTGGAACTCACTATGTAGACCAGGCTGGCCTTGAACTCACAGAGATCTGCCTGCCTCTGCCTCCCGAGTGCTGGGACTACAGGCATGCGCCACCACGCCTGGCTCAACAGCAAGCACTTCTACCTGCTGAGCCATCTCACTGACCTGTTACTGTTTTGTTTTGTTCTTTGAGACAAGGTCTCTCTATAGCCCCTGCTGGCCTGGAACTCCCTGTGTAGACCAGGCTAACCTTGAACTCACAGAGATCCACCTGTTTCTACCTCCTAAAAGCTAGGATTAAAGGTATGCACCACCATGCCCAGCTTTGTTATTGGGTTTTCATTTGTTTTTGTTTTGTCTTTCTGAGACACGGTCTCCCTGTACCCCCAGATGGCCTGGAACTCGATATGTAGACCAAAGCTGGCCTTGAACTCACAGAGATCTGCCTGCCTCTGTCTTCCAAGTGCTGGGATTAAAGGTGTGTGCCACCACGCCTGGCTGTTAATGGTTTTTTTAAGACAGGGTCTCATACTATAGTCTAGGCTGGCCTCTAATTTGCTGTGTAGCCTAGGGATGACCTTGAACTCCTGATCCTCCTGTTTCCACTTCCCGAGTGCTGGGACAGGTATGTACCACTATGCCAAGCAAGGATGTGTTTTAAAAGAATAGGGTTGGGAGTGTAGCTCATTTGGTAGAGTACTTGCCTAGCAATGAATGAAACCCTGCATTTGATACCCAGCACCACATAAACTGGATTTGGTGTCACAGGACTGTAATCCTAGCACTTGGGAGGTAGATGCAGGAGAATCAGAAGTTCAAGGTCATGTCAGCTACATAGTGAGTTCAAGGCCAGCCTGGACTACATAGGGCCTTATCATTCATATGTACACACACACACACACACACACACACACACACACACATACATAACATACATACATATATA